GTAAATTAAAATAGTTTTGCAGGTTCAAAAATCAACCGAGCAGAGAATTTACTGCTTTACACACCAGCCTGGTTCTGCTTGAGCTGCTGCTTCTTTAGAAATTACTGCAGCATTATGCAGTAAAATGCTTCATTCCAGGCTTTTCTCTTAGTCTGTTGTTTTTTTCTTTTTACTCTCAGTCGACTGTCCTCCAGTTTTTCACACAGCAATGCAAAGAACAAGTCACACTCTGTGTACCGCAGAAGGAGTTCAGCAGTCTTCTGCGAACTGCTCTGAAAAGTATGTGCGAAAGAGGAAGGTAAAGAGCAGACACTGAGAGCTGCGCCAAGCTGTGCGTTAGTTTTTACTCTGCTCAAGATTGCATGTCCTTCCTAGACGACTGAAAAACCGTGCAAACAAAATTGCTCGCAAGGAATATTTGATGGATTAGAGGGGAGCAGAGGATGTTTGCAGGATAAGGATTAAAGGTTAGTGGGTGAACTGAAGTCAGTGGAGCACTCTGTTACATAAGTGTGCGCGAGTATATGAACACGTTTTTGTCTTATCAGGAGGAAATGCATTCTGGGCTGGGCCTCTCTCCTTTGAGGGCCCTAACAGTTGTGTCTTAACCTCAGGTCTGTTCCTCACAGATCCTTCCTGATGCAGCACTTTGTTTTTGCAGGTCCTTTGACCTCCATTCAGCCTCCACCCCCTGAAGAGTGTTTTTGTAGTTGAAAAACGAGAAATACCTGAAATTCAGCCGAATACTCGCGTCCTGCTCCGTCTTCAGCTTCAAAGATGGAAAGCAGAGAGACGCTGCAGATACTCATTCACTCAGAGTGGATATTTCCTCTGTATGACAGTGGTTGAAAAGTCTAAAGATAACCATACAGATCAGTTACACCCTCGACTGTACAGTGTCAGGTGCACCATAAGATTTAACAGTGAGCACTTTCCTGCCTCAACCTCTGTCCGCGCGGATTAGAGTCGGCTTACGTGAATTAAAATCTGCTTGTGTCCAGTTTTAATCCTCCTCTATTGGTAAGAGACACCGGGGGGAATGAAAGTGTGTGTGTGTGTGTGTGTGTGTGTGTAGGTGTGTGTGTGCGCGTGCGCGCATGCGTGCATGCGTGCGTGCGTGTAAATTACATGAGAAAATGAACCATGAGACGCCTTTACAGCAAAAAAAAATAAAAATCAGCAGCTGGTTAGCTTAGCTTAGGCCAAAGAATGAAAACAAAGGAGGAAGCAACAACGAAGTGACCGTCCCTTGTTGAGACATTGCTTTACAAAGTAACTGTATTTATGTTAATTTTAAACTTTGATTTTGCACAGATTAAACAAGCAAGGTATAATAAGTTAATAAGTCAATTGAAGTGCTTGGAAGCAGATTTTATAACCTTTAGACGGAGCCAGTCTTACTGTTTCTGGCCTGTATGCTAATATTAGATACCTGGCTGCTCCTGGTAGCTTATCATACAGAGCTACACTGCTCAAAAAATAAAGGGAACACTAAAATAACACAATGAATGAAATATTCCAGTTGAAAATCTTTATTCATTACATAGTGGAATGCGTTGAGAACAATAATAACATAAAAAAGATCAATGCAAATCAAAATTATAATCCCATGGAGGTCTGGATTTGGAATCATACTCAAAAATGGAAAATCACATTATAGGCTGATCCAACTTCAGTAAAAATTCCTCAAGACAAGTCAAAATGAGGCTCAGTAGTGTGTGTGGCCTCCACGTGCCTGTATGACCTCCCTACAACGCCTGGGCCTGCTCCTGATGAGGCAGGATGTTCTCCTGAGGGATCTACTCCCAGGCCTGGATTAAAGCATCAGTCAACTCCTGGACAGTATGTGGTGCAGCATGACGTTGGTGGATGGAACAAGACATGATGTCCCAGATGTGCTCAATTGGATTCGGGTCTGGGGAATGGGCCGGCCAGTCCATAGCATCAATGCCTTCATCATGAGGAACTGCTGACACACTTCAGCCACATGAGGCCTAGCATTGTCATACATCAGAAGGAACCCAGGACCCACTGCACCAGCATATGGTCTCACAGTGGGTCTGAGGATCTCACCCTGGTACCTAGTGCTAGTCAGGGTACCTCTGGCTAGCACATGGAGGGCTGTGTGGTCCTCCAAAGAAATGCCTCCCCACACCATTACTGACCCACCACCACACTGGTCATGCTGGAGGATGTTGCAGGCAGCAGAACGTTCTCCACGGCGTCTCCAGACTCTGTCACGTCTGTCACATGTGCTCAGTGTGAACCTGCTCTCATCCGTGAAGACCACAGGTTGCCAGTGGAGAATCTGCCAATCTTGGTGTTCTCTGGCAAATGCCAATCACCCTACACGGTGTTGGGCTGTAAGCGCAAGCCCCACTTGTGGATGTCGGGCCCTCATACTACCCTCAGGGAGTCTGCTTCTGACAGTTTGAGCAGAAACATGCATATTAGTGGCCTGCTGGAGGTCATTTTGTAGGGCTCTAGCAGTGCTCCTCCTGTTTCTCCTTGCACAGAGGAGGAGGTAGCATCCTGCTGCTGAGTTGTTGTCCTCCTAGGGCCCCTCCACGTCTCCTGGTGTACTGGAGAGTAACTATTCCTTTTGAATAGTTATGATTTAAACATGTTGCACACTGAATGACTGGATTAAAATTGTCCCTGTTTAGGGTTGATATAGCATCACTACCACCGGGTCACCAAGCAAACAACTGTTATTATTAATATTGGGAGCTTTAAATTGAAATATGGTATAGTTGCTCAGGATGCAAACTGCAGGGCCGCCATGAGGAGTTGGACTCCTCTTCAACTACCCTGAAAACTTTTCTCTGTGTATAAAATTTGCATATTTAGAAGCATTTCCATCGAAATAATCCCCACGTATTTAGATGGAACTCAGCACCGGTGCTTCATTTACAATGTGTCCATCTATGAAGTCCCTGCCTCACTGTCTACCCAACCCTCCACCATTCGCTGCTTCTCAAGCACACCAGCTCCCCTATGACTCTGTAAAACCACTTTGTGAAACACAATGGCCACTTGTAATATTGGAGTAATTCAGGCATACATACTTGAACTGGAAATTGATTGTAAATTTCAAGGCTGTTGTAGGAAGGCCTGAAACTTCACCACAAGAACGGCCGTCCTGTTATCTCCCATGAAAGAAGTTCTTCCAGGCGAGATAACAGGCCTGAAAAACTGCTGTGTGGGGCACAACAATGATTAGTTGAACTCGTAGAGAACAAGTGCCATTTTTTTTGTCCCCTCTTGATGTCGTCTCTCCTCTCAGATACCATCATCTGAGAAAATTTGCCATGTAGGCAGACATAATAAGCCTTATAGTGTTTTGTTTCTGATATAGCTGGAGATATGTCCAGTAGCTACTATTTGCTGTGGCTTTTACACACTTATAATCAAAGCTGTAGTCTAAGTTGTTCCATATCCTACATCACAATGGAAACAGAAATCCTGAAAGGCCTGATTACAGGACCATTCATTGTCCCTGCAAACTGCCCCAGTAATGATTTCTTAGGTTTGTTGGATCTGATTCCCTGTTTTTGAGACAGTCCTCAATACACTGCAGTGGTGGAAATTCTCAGCCATGATGTGACCTTGAACATATAAAAAAAAACATATTGACATGTGGGCTGCAAGGTGGCGCAGTTGGTAGCACTGTTGCCTCGCAGCAAGAAGGTTGCTGGTTCGCGTCTCGGTGGGGGCACCGGAATCTTTCTGCGTGGAGTTTGCATGTTCTCCCTGTGCAGCGTGGGTTCTCTCCGGGTTCTCCGGCTTCCTCCCACACAGTCCAAAAACATGTTGAGGTTAATTGGTGATTCTAAATTGTCCGTAGGTGTGACTGTGAGTGTGCTTGGTTGTCTGTCTCTAAGTGTGGCCCTGCGATGGACTGGTGACCTGTCCAGGGTGTTCCCTGCCTTCGCCCTAAGTCGGCTGGGATAGGCTCCAGCCCCCCCGCGACCCTAATGAGGATTAAGCGGTGTATAGAAAATGGATGGATGGATATTGACATGTTAACAAGATTTTTTTTTAAATAATTGATTTTTACTTGAGAGGGTCTTTAGAAAGACTTGTGGGGTCTCGCCAGGCATTTCTAATTCTCTAATCTAGTCTGTGTTTTTGTTGTTTTATAGTTCTTATGATGAGAAAAATTAAAAATAAAGCTAAATTAAATGCTTTATTGTATTTGCGCACAAAAAAAAGTGAAAACAAGTCATGCACACTAGTTGTGAACTGTACTTTCTCTTTCTTCTGTTTGTTACAGAGTATTAATAAAATGTGGATCCTTTTTTTTTCATATGTTTTACACTATTAAGTAACTAAAACCTGATTCTGCTGCATCAAATAACCCACTGTTTGAACTTCAGTTTGGCTTCTCTGGTTTTCCACCCTTGTTTATTTCATTTGATGTGCTATTGATTTGTAATGTGTGAAAAATGTGATATTAGGCACAGACACAGATTTCCTGCATGCTCAACTGTCATGGGGTCAGACTTAACTTGGTGTTTTCCTCGACTGGTAAAAACCCAGCTTGTGGTTTTGGGTCACGAGCTAAAATCTTTTTCCTCATGTCACTGTCTTCGGCTGAACTACACAAAGCATGAAATAGCTTTCTAACTATTTCTAACTATTTGCAGGACTCTGGGGTTTGATGCTAATTTGTGGCATTTGTCTGACGCAAAGAGGTTTAGCTGTAAGCATTTTAATGTGTTGGTTTTTTACTTCTAATAGAGCCAGAGACATGCTGTATCCTCATTCTGCAGCGTGATTTCTGTGTCAAAGTAAACAATCTACAAAGTCATGACAACAAGAAACGACAGTTTAATGCAGAGGCCAGAAGTGGGGAAAATGCAGGCAAACAGGACGAGTGGGCTGACAAATGCTGCTTTTTGGCATCCAACCCAGTAGTAGTATGTTTCTAGTTACCTCCAAGTTAAATCACATTTTCGTGACTTGTTAATATCTTCTATTTCCCCCCCACATTGCAGGGTCGATGTGGATCCAGATCACGACCAGCAGCCGTGTGGAGACAGCTTCCAGGTGCTACAGGGGGTGAGGACCTCACTCACTTGTGTTTTTAGTCAGTGCTGCTGAAACTGTCCTGCTTCTGCTATTTTCTGTCTATGTGGACAGTCAGCAGATCTGAAAACAGAAATAGTTTGTTTTGTTGCAAGAACTTAGGGTGAATTTGCTGAGTGAGCCAGCGAAAGCAGAACGGCTCCGCTAGTTGTGCTGTGCAGGATCTTTTCAGTTACCTTCAGTTGTATTTCAAGTATAATGATGAATCTTGTCCACGCTGTTCTGTAGGTTAATATTTACAGAGTGCTGTGAGTTTGGTATCTTCTCTGGACTGCAGCAGCTAGAATGTGATGTTAGTAATTACACTGATCAGTTTGTTTAATTTTCAGGTGTTTAAAATACTCCTCAGCATTGTGGGAAGCATCAATCCGAGTGCTTTGATATTTATTTTAAATATAATTGTTTTTCACAGTGAAAGCTTTAGCATTAAATGTTCTGTGCCTACGGGGAGGAATCATAATCCCAAACATTATTCACATATTGAAGGCTCCAGGGCTTCATTTGTGAATAACCTATTTAGCTTTATTTGATAGTTAATGATTTGCTACAAGCTTCAAAGCAGGTTTTATACTATCTTAACATTGTAGGTTTGGGATTATTCACACTTTGTTTTTTCATGAATGAGATTTTGTAGGATAAACCCCTTTCATGGCCTGATTTTAAGGTACAAATGTTTGGGATTTTTAAAAAAATTTTTTTAGCCCAATCAATATTGGGTTTTTGGGGCCGATTTTTAGGGAGCACAAAATACATACATCCATATCGCTGGGCCAATATTCTTTTGACACATGTATACATACAATATGTTAGAGTTATATTATAAAGGAAAATTGATAGGGTCATTCTTCATTAACTCTCCAGCAATACATCTCACAAACTAGTAAACAGCTTACTGTGAAAACACTGCTTTACTCTGCACCACTGACGAGTGCAATTGCTATTCCCATGCTGGATTTAAAAAAAATCTATTTTAAGTTAATTGATGGTTTTAATGTGTTAACTTTTGTTCCGTGTTCCATGATATTTAAGTTTTAAGTTGCGTTATAATGGTCACCTTCTTAGCCAGGTTTCCCTTGAGAGAGAGATTTTAATCTCATGGAACGTCCCGGTTAAATAAAACAAATAAAATTAAGCACTGTCTGCTCAGCTTTGATGCAGACTCTGCTACATGTACTGCAGGCAGTGCTGAGAGCTGGAACTGCTCTGCTGGGCAAACTATGTGACGACACCATATCTAAATTAGCATTATGTTCTTTAAATATGTGACAGGCCAGTATGGGTTGATAATATAGTCTACAGAATGATATAGACTTATAAATTGGTTGGGCTGGCATTGATTTTCTTAAAGCTATATATGAAAAACCAGATTCAAACTCAACCATTTCTGGCTACTGTGAGCTCACTGGAAGCAGAAAACATGGCCTTTCTTTATCAGTAAACAGGAATTTATAATTAATTCTATAGTAGTAAGTTTAGAAATAACAGATAAACTATTTAAATCACATTACATTAAGTTAGCCTCACAATTAAATGTGCTTTATAGCAAAGTTTTAGTACTTTCAAAAAGCATTTTTAAAGTAAATTGTTTGGCTTTGCAAGAAGTCTGTTTGTACAAGGTGGATGATCATCACTGTAGCATCAACAGAATGCACTATCACTCAAACCAAACACAACTGTGGACTTACAGTTCAATTTGTAATATGTAAATGTACGACAGTGCTGGAAGTACAGAAACAGTGGAAGTATTGTTGAGGAAGCTGTAAAACAAAATAACACCAGCAGCAATACTGTGGCCTGCTTGGATCTTTTATGTACATCTACCTCACATTGCTGCAGTCATATGATCATCTGTTGATGATGCCTATATTTTGCTGTTATCCAACTTTGTCTAAAATGAACAATACATCCTCTGAACTGACTCTGAAAAATCTAATTAGTTGAGAACTAGCAAAATTGTTGTATCCTGATAACAACATGTTTGTCTGGATACAGATATTTTGATGCAGTTAATCGTTGATGTGTAAATGCGTTATTTTTCCACATGTTTCTGCAGGATGGCTCCCAGGCTGAAGGACAGAGTAAAACCAAACAGGAGAGTGCGTGGCTCTTCAGACTGTGGTACACCTTTGATCACAAGTATCCTTTCTGTGCCCTGCTTTTAGAGAGACAAGGAAAAATGTGCATCATTTGCTTTCAAGCCATGAAGTAATTGTTTGTTTGAACTAGTACAGCTGCAGCATGTCAGGTTTCGTATCCAGTCGGCATGATCATCCTGATCCTTATGTTCTACGCTGGCCGGATCATCCTTCAATATGGGATTTAGATTAACATACATGAAACCATATAATGTTTGCTTTCCCTGCTCAGTCCGGCTGCAAAAACAGACTTAAGTTAATGTGTTTAGCAGCTCTCCCTCTCATTTCCTGCCTCCTTTCCATCCCTGCGGAGCGATTGTCTCCCCAGGTGGCTGATTGTGTGGCTGCTTTTGAGTGCAGCAGCTGTTTGTTACAGCCGAGACTTTCCCCCTGGTGACACATGCTGCATGCAGCTGAAGCCAACGGGGTGGATTTCTCCCATTTCCCAGAACTGAGGTAAACATTTATGACAGAGAGAATTATTTCTGGGTGCCAGATTGTGCGACTGACTGCAGAGTTTGACAGCTTAGTTTGATGCATGTCCTGACAAGGTGCTGACTGCTTTTCTCCACACAATGACCCGGCCACTTGATCAGGGCGCTGACTTTTCCCAGAGTGCAATTCAGCCTGACTAATTACAAACAAGAGGCCGAGAAGCCTGCTGGTTCCCTCTGGTGCACTGCTGCTAAGCATCACAAAATCACCCTGCGCTCAGCTGCTCCCACCTCCTCATGTTCACTCACAGAAACTACTGTAATGAAAGACAAACAGGGCTCAGCTGATTTTGTTGCAGTGAGCGTTAAAGAAATGCTTTAACACTTTTACCTGTAATTTTTTTAGAAGAATAAATTAGATTATATATAAAAACTAGTGAAATTACACAAAAAGTATTAATTTACATAATTGTAAAAAATAAATAAATAAATAAATAAAAGGGCCCAAACTGTAAATAACATCAAAAATCAGCATTTTTATAGTAATTTCTCTTACAAAAAAGTCACATCTGATCACCTATGTTTATGTGAGGATTGTTCTTTTACAATGTGTGGCTGTAAAATTACCCTTCTTTTTAAAATTTAAATCAGTAAAAATATATATAAAGATAAATTATTGGTATGGTAAATGATTAAATTACAAACAATTTCTAGTAAAATCCCCAAAAAGTATAAATTCACACACTGACTGTAAAACAATAGGACAAAACTTTAGAAAACTTTACAAAAATACACTATTTTATGGTAGTTAAATCAACTATAAATATTGTTATTTCACAGATATCTGCGGCTTTTTTAAACGCTTTTAAACCTTACAGAACTCAAAATGTTTTTATGTATTTTTTCTGGCACCTTTTTATTTATTTTATTGACAGAATTTTGTGTATATGAAACTCCTTTTGTGATGATACGTCTCCAGGTTCAGACAATACGAATCGACTATTTTAACTTGTAGCTAAATTTGGGTCTTTTCCTTTATGTATCATACTCAACAGATGTCTTTTGTCTGGAGTATTTCCATTACAATGGAAAAAATCTAAAATTAAATAAAGTTTTTCTACAACCAGTTTTCAGTAAAATTATAGAAAGGATTATTTTTGAGCAAATTCATGCTTATTGAGTTTCAGTATGACTGAAAATGTGGAGGATGCACCAGCACAGCTCTGGTTCAGAAGACAGCGAGACACTGTAAATCAGTAAGGCTTGTGTTCTTAGTCCTGAGGGCAGCTTTTGATTTAATAAACCATGATTTAATAATCGCTAAACTCAAACAGAATCTTGTAGAGGTTTAAGCTCTAAATATAGCCTGTTGATGGACATTATCTTCTTCATTGTTCCATAATTCATGTGTTCATGTCGAGTTTCTGCAGGAAGAGAGCTGATAATGAGGTGTATTTTTATGAACAGTAACTGTAGAGCCTAACGGAACTATGATGCATTGTGTATTCGCCTACCACCTTCCACAAAATGAATTTATAAGCTGTAATTAAAGGCTTTATGAATCAATAATAGTTCATTTACTAAAGTCTTGTAGGTCCGCTGTAAGCAAAACAGCAACTTTAGTGTTCTTAAAGAGCGGAACAATTGAAAGCGGTGCAGATTTAATCAGCGTTTGTTCACTGTTAACAACAGTTGACCTCTTTGAGTTATTCTCCTTAATAGCTGCCCAGTTACCTGAAGCCCATTCTGACACACAGCGGTCCACCTCTCACCTCCACTCTGCCAAGCTACTGCGGGCCGCTGGCCAGCTGTCTGACCAGTCCACAGGCCTACGAGGTGAGTGTCCACATGCACAAGCACAAAAACACAGCATGCAGCAACAAAACAAACAGTGATGCCCCTACAGGACCAGCGATGTGTGAAAAATCCATGTTCATGCTGCAGAAATTGTAGAAAATCTATTCTCTGCATGTTGCCCAGCCAGAGGTTTGTAAAGAACAGTTTTGAGGGTAAACACAGAAAAGTGAAATAGAGTCAAATCAAGTAAATAGTAAACATCTGTAAATCTGCATTTTTACAGCAGTTGGTGTTGTTAAAACTTTTTGCAGCTGTTTGAGAAGGTTTAGAAGAATGTAGTCAGCCTTGAAACACATGGTGACGTGGACTTATTGTGACACAAAAAACCTCTCTGGACTGCAGGAATCCCATCATCAACCCACCACAATCATAAAGCTGTGGATCATTTCTGGTAATAAAAGTTCAGCTCACTAAGTTCACGGGTAACTGAAGTGCCTCTACTGCACAAGGTCTGGGGCTGGTTCTCCGTGAACAAGACTCATAAAAAAGATTCCCTTTCTAACTTGAACTGAAATAAGGGGAAATATCTTACAATAGGTCAATGGGTGTAAAACTGTTGCTGAAATGAAAAACATGTTGATAGATGTTAAATACTGGGTGCGGCTTCATCTTAGGAGCTTTGAAAATGTTATTTTGTTCTCTAAATTTACAGTGTCTCTCTTAAGGACGCATTCTGCTGATAGACACAATAATTTAATGTTACACTAGTGTTTCAAATGAATATGCCTCTACTTTGGTTAGCAGAACAGAGAAAATTCAACATTTCCAGATGTTCCAGTGGATAAAAAAAGCAGTGAAAATGCTTTATGAAAATCTGTAAATGTACAAATAAGTGGAAAAAAAGTGAATATCTTCCAAACATTTACAAGTTTAAAAAATATACCTGTGAAATTATCTTTTCTATTTGTGAATCGAAGAGGCATTTGTGATATAAAAACACTGTAAATGTCATCATTTTAATAACATTTTAAAACATCCCTTTTTACATCATTAACTCAGTCTGGGGAGTGATGTCATATGGTTGCAGTAGTCTTAGTCCTGATCTGCTGAGCCAACAGTGAAATAAACATGTCTTTTGTTAGTGTTTTGAGTTTGAGCACCAGCATAATGTGTGCAGATCTTTTACTTAAGTAAAAGTAGCAGTACAGCAATTGGAAAAATACTTGGTTACATGTAAAAAAAAATTTGTTTTTAAAGTTTCAAACTTCATTTAAGTGAAATTATGCAAGTAGTATAAGCAAGATTTACTTGAAGTAGAAAGTATAACAGCATTCATTACACACTAGGATTTGATCTGTAAATGTTCTATTTTTAATGTGTTATACTGCCTGATTATTGTTGCTGATGCATTAACATGTAAGCAGCATTTTCATTGTTATTTATGTTTCATTGTTAGCACTGTTGCCTCGCAGCTAGAAGGTCGCCAGTTTGTGTCCCGGTGAGGACACCGGGATCTTTCTGTGTGGAGTTTGCATGTTCTCCCCGTACAGCGTGGGTTCTCTGGCTTCCTCCCACACAGTCCAAAAACATGTTGAGGTTAATTGGTGATTCTAAATTGTCTGTAGATGTGAATGTGAGTGTGCTTGGTTGTCTGTCTCTAAGTGTAGCCCTGTGATAGACTGGCGACCTGTCCAGGGTGTCCCCTGCTTTCGCCTTAAGTCAGCTGGGATAGGCTCCAGCCCCCTGCGACCCTAGTGAGGACTGAGCGGTGTATAGATAATGGATGGATGGATGGATGTCAGAAATTTGACAGAAATTCTAATCAAGTATATGTCCATGCAGGCCATTTTACCGTTGTGTCCAGTATATTTACTAGATATACTTAACTTGCTAGTCATAGAAGTGAAAATGTAATGATGGTTATTATTTAGCAGAGTGCAAATCCTGCTAACACACTGTACTGATGATGTATACATACACGAAAAGTCCAAATGGGTCAGTTTCATATCATGAGTCGTGAATGTATTGGTCTGTATTTAAAGCATCAAAAGAAGCTTTGATAAGGATGTTCTGTGAGCGTCACCAAATCAAGCTTGCTAGGAGACATTCTGCCTCGAATCACGAGAAAACTAGGGTTGTACAAGGTTTGAATGTGAACAAGGCCTGCGAGGCTGATCGGAGCTGAAAGTCAGACCATAATCAGACTTTGGGGAGGATTATGACACACTTCAGGCACAATAAAGAACTTCAGTTGACCTGGAGAGCAGCTCAGTTTGTCATAACCTCCGCGTAGGGGTCGACTCTACTTCTATGTCCTTATCTCAATGATTCTGTATGTTTGTTAACAATGTTGTATCAACCTTATAGTATTAGGGTCTGTTTTAAAGTAACAGCTGTCAGATAAATGTATAAATATTTCTAAGTAGAAAGTAAAGAACTTACCTGTGAACATGGGCGGATGTTTGGACCTGGTTCTGATTTGGTGAACCAGTGTTCTAAAAATTAAAGACAGACAGCTAAGCTCTTTACGTCAAACACTGGTTTAGCAGAGACAACAGTTACTAAACGGGAACCATCAGTTTTGCCCCACTTTGCTCTTCATCACCTCTCTGATTGGTTTCATGCTGATGTACATTTTGATTAACACCTTCTATGTTGTCATCTTTGCTTATGTTTCTCTTGGCTTCATTTGAAAATGCTCAAGAGAAAACATACTTATCTCGCAGTAAGCTCAGGAGACTGAGACTTTTACAACCATATGGCATAACTACCCAGACAGAGTTATTCATGTAAAAAAAGAAAAAGTCAAACTGAGAAAAAAAGGACATTTTTAGATTTGATCAAAACTGACATTTAGGGTGTTTTTATTTCACATTTATAAAGTCGATGCCAATCTGAATCTACAAAAAACGTGTAAGTCCTAAGTGTAGGGATTTCTTACAGAAAATGTCTCATAGAAGTCTGTATGCTTTTTGTTTGAAATGTGGAAATCACATCTTCAGCGTGCTTTCCAAAAAGTGGCAACAAGTTAATTTTCCATGGGGCTGCTGAAATGTTTGTCTCAAAACTTGTGCAAAACATAAATCCACACATGTAAAACTCATATCCACAAACACAAAACAGAGATCCACAAATGTCGAACCGAAATACATAAACAAAAAAATTGAGATTCATAAACAGAAAAAATGTCGATCTTTTTGAAAGTGTCAAATGTGAGGAAGATATTCACAGATTTTATTTTATTTGTGAAACATTTTTTGCTCCTGTCACATTTGTTTTTTATTGTGGGCTCATTCCTTACTGCAACATAAAGTCCTGGAAACACCACAACTGTGGCTAAAAGAAGAGAAAATTCTAAAATATCATCCGTGCAGGACAACGACGTTGTAATGCATTAAATCTTAGAAAAAGGAAAAAATGAAAGCTGATTTTTGTCTATCACCATATTTTTTATTTTTTATTTTTAAAGAGGAAAGAAATCTGGAATCAACATGTACAACCTTCTTCCAAGTTCCCACAGGTTTTTTTTTTTTTTTTTTTAATCAAAACTGGAAAACTGGGGATTCCATATACAATAGATATTATACTATTTGCATGTTTCATTTGTTTCTTGTCTCCTATCTCCTCTGCAGAAACACTGCCTGCAGTTCAGCTGAATAGCTGCTAAATTTTTTGTCACATGGCTGTTTCTCTGCAGCTGAGTCAGTCATGGTTTTGAGGTTTCATCAATGAGCACAGAATTTTTTTGAGAATCTAGTCAGAGCAAACTTTATTTTAGACAGACTTTTAAATGAGGCATGTAAAGGGGTTTTGATCAAATATGTTGATTTTTAGCTTAGGTTTATGTAATTTCCCTGCCAGACTGACCCATCACCACATTACTACTCAAGGACAGTCAGAAAGTTAAATGTCCAACTATTCATACTGTTTTTACAGTTTCTGGTGCTAATAAATTGTCATTTTGTTCATTCTTTTAAGACATGCCTTTCAATCAGTTAGTGTTGGGTTTTAGAGAGATAGGAGACATTTTTTTAAAGACGGAGATACTGTAGCTACAGAAAATATCCTTTTGTGCTGCTAGATTTATTATTTTTTTTAAAAGCTTGATCTTTTAATTTGGTTACAACCAAAACATTTTTGCAGCTTAAAGGAACAGTCTCCTTTTCCACTGTTCAGTCCTGAGCCGGTGCCTCAGGAAGGCTCTCTGTGAATACTGAAGGTTTCTCTCTCAGGAGAACAGTAATATTGTCAAAGCATTCTCAGTGGCTGCCAGTAAACGCACAAAGAGCCGAGGCCTTCAGCAAGAGAGAAAATGGACGGTCGAGAAGCCTTTATACATTCAGCGGGCACAAAAGGGCCCTTTCAGCGCCACCTCAATGATGACCAGTGTTCTGAAAGACATTGCACTCTGATATTTTAAAGACAGAAACAGCCATTGAAGGGACGGTCACACTTGGATTCACTCTGGCAAATTCTCCTTTTCATCTCATGTGAAATACTTGCACACGGAGGCTTGTTTTTCAGTTATACTCTCCTTTCACGGTGACCCACACAGCCTGTCGCTGTCGGGTTAGAAAATCTAAAACGCGTTTCTGCACTGCAAAGTAGAAATAAATTGTCTCTTATTCAAGTCTTCAGTTCTGCGTCCAGAAATGTGTTCCCCTCCTGGTTTGTTGCTGTTGGTTGGCTTGCATAGGGCTGGTGGCCAGGAGAGTCATGAATTTAGGTGGTTCTTCATATAATCAGGGCTCTGTGTCTCCAAGTGGGGGGAGACTGGATTAAATAAAGCTTCTTGCCTGTTTCCCTTTTGGTTATGGATATTGTGAAGAGCATGAGTGGAAAATGCCGCTCAAACAAAACAGATGTTTGTTTCCTGTTGACCTCAAAATTGCATGAATCTGGTGTTAGAAATGCATTTCAGGCTGTTAAACATCAAACTGACAATTCGATTTATTCCCAGTACTAGAAATGAATGGTTTATGAAAAGACAAACAACAGCAGTGCATTAGTCCGCCTCCTAATACGTTCCAACTATCTGTGAACCACAGCCTCCAGCCCATTGGTTCCTAGTAAAGACTTTAATCTCCAAAAATGGGTCACAAATATATAGTTTCATTTTCTAAAAAGGCTGAACAATTTTCTTAGCCACGCATTTGTCTGGTGCTATTTTCAGATGTGTGTTAATACTCATTTTGCCCTTCAGGATGCTGTGCAGAATTGGGGATGGCAGCTATGTTACTATTTTAATTGGAAGTAGTCATTTTTAATTACATTTGCAGACTTTTCCTTGTTTCCTTTCCAATTTTTTATTATTATTTTTTGGGGGCATTTTTGGCTTTTTATTAGATAGTTACAGTTGAGAGAGATGGGCAATGTGGGGAAGAGAGCAGGGGAACGACGTGCAGTGAGGGATGGGAATCGAACCTGAGAGCTTAAAGGCATTTGAACCCATGTGGCCTCAGCATTCAGCTATCGGGCCGCCCTCCAGATAATTGTTGGAGAGAGAAATGGTTACGTAATATTTTTTTGATCCCTTCCGTCGGAGTAATCCCTACACTGACCCAGCGTTAACTCATCCTGTTCTCCCCCCGAGGACATGGGTCAGCTATCGATCACCAGCAAGTCAATCAGAGCAGAGAGAACCTCATGATTGAGAGCTTAACCAGAATGCAACATGTGCTCCTGAGCTGACTTTTCATGCCCAAGGTCTGTCGCTTTGTGTTGGTTTGCGTGATACTGAGCAGCTTGTGGTCTCCTGCTGTGTTTGTTTTTAATTTCACTTTAATCCAGTTGATGTAGTGCAGGCCACTAAGTGAAAGTCTCCTCTCTTCCCCTCTGTAAATCCACAGTGTCCCTTATGAGCCTTTGCACCGTTAATGTCAGTCTGTTCATCTGTCCGCACCACATGTGTTCGCTCTGTGGCGTCCCACATCCGTGAATGTGTCGCCCCCATGTCCCTCCCCCCTCATGTTCCACTCTGGGTTTGTTTTCAGAACCACGAGCAGCTGAGGGATCCCGACTCCGACCTCATCCGCAACGACGCCGACCTGACCTTTACGTTTGGCGACACTTCCATCACAGCCAACGGGGCCTCCGGCGGCGGGGCGGACGCTGCCGGGGGGTCGGGCTGGAGTGCCAACGGAAAGAGGAGCGGCAGCACATCGGAGGAGGCACTGGAGCGCGAGCTGGACTCTCGCGAGCAGGAGCTGCTGAGCCGAGGCACACGCCTGGTGTTCCCCATCGAGGACCACGTCTGACGTTGCCTCTGTGCCCCGCCTGAGCTGCCGACCTCCCTGACCCGACCCACAGACCGCCTCGCCCTTAGCTCCCTCCACCTCTGTGCAGGCGAAGCGTCCAGTCCTTCACAGATAAGACAGAACGGAGATATGGGAGTAGACAGGAGGGTCAGAGTGTCTCCCTGTAGGCCGGGGAGCACAGCTCAAAGAGCATTTCATCCTCATTACAGAAATGGAGTTACTCTCCAGGAGACATGAGCATCAGGAGAGAAAATCTCCACGTTTCCGCTGCATAAACAGGAGAAAAACCAGGACATGGGGACAAAATGTGCCCATGCGAGGTTCAATCTGCACTTCTGAGCATGTGGCGCTGTTTGTGTTCAGCTGGGAAAGAAGCAGAAATGCGATCAGTTTGTCTTCACAGTACACCAGTCAGCTCAGAGTCCCCAAACCCATCTAGATGCTGCAGAGGCCTCACAGACTGAACTTCATAGATTAAAGAAGCTACGTTTGCACCACTCATCCGAAGCTGCTAACAATCCAGTGTTTGAGAAAATGTCCATTCTTTCACACAAAAGCATTCATGAAGAGGAGCTTGAGGCCTGTGAGGAGCACGGAGGGGGACAGGGAACACGTTTCCTTCACGGCCGGTCATGGGTGAAGAACGTGAGCATGTAAATAGCTACAATGCTGAGCTTTGTTCCTCTTTAGTGGGGCCACTCGTCTCAGTGCATTACACCCAATGACTGTTACAGATAACGTCTGTGTATCTTGTCTTTAAGCGGGCTTGGATCCTTTTCTGTGTACTGGACTGTTTTTCACACCAATAACACAATTAAGGAACTAATTTTATTGTTTCTTATGAGATAAATGCTGATTTCTCAAAACTGTAGAAATAGGCATGCACTCTAATACAGTTGAGGAAAATAAAGAGCAGGCCGCCATTGTTTTTGGGGGGGGGTTTGCAAAAAGAATATTAAATTGAATTTAATCAGAAGAAAAAAATTTAATAATCAGAAAAACTGCTGCAACTGATAAACACCGTCATTACTGATCAATCTGCTAATGATTTACTTGTGTAGTTGTTTTTTGTCAGTTAAGTGTTTTTAGAGCCCAGTATTTGCAGACCACAAAGATGACAAAAACAGATGTAATCCTCACATTAGAGAAGCTAAAACCAGTGGCTGTTTGATGTTTTTGATTGGAAAAACAACTGAAATGATGTATTTCAACTGATTGACTAACTCCATTAGCTGTTTCAGCTGCACATTTAAGCGACTGAGAAAAGTTGCAAAGCAGTGCCACCATTACCACAGATGTACCCGTTTTTACTTTGAAGTGCACAAACTTTCAGACATGTGAAACAAAAGAGCCTCACCTCTGACACCAAACACAGACCACAGGAGATTATAAAAAGAAGTGCTTGCATTTAAACTCACCAAGCGGAATTCCCCTTTTGGCATCATCAGCAGTGCGTCTACACATTAACATCGATGCCTCTGTGCTGTTTGCTCACATATTAACCTCAATATATATATGTATATATGCATACATTTTTTTAACAGAAACTCCAAATTAGTTTTTCCTTCTTTTGAGCTTTTCTGAGTTCACATTTGTCTGCATACATGTACAATTAAAAAAAAAAAAAAAAAAAAAACACTCCTATGAGTCAACGGATTTTGTGCAGCTTGATGCAGTGCTTATCAATGTACTTTGGATATGATTATGGTTAAGCAATAGCTCACTGTTTTGGGGAAATTGGTAAATATCAAGACTGTTTTCATATCTGTCTGTTCAACGTAAAATGGAGATGATTATCTTAGCTTAACACAAAGTCAGAAAACATTTAGTTTGGTTCTGTTCAAGGGTAACAGAATCCACATATTAGCACCTGTAAGCTCACTGATTAACTATAAATTGTTTAACGTGTACAAAAATGAAGATGCTATATGAGCCCTTTAGTGAAACGAAAATGCATTTTAGTAAATATTAATATTTTGGATGTTTGAGCATCACGGTACAGAACGATGGACAAGCGGCGATAAATTAAACTCAACATAAAGTGTCGGGCTGCAAGAACAGTGTTCGAGTCTCTGAACTGGACCGGAGGAATGAAACACTGTTTTTCGAAAAGAATTTCTCTCCTTTGCTGTTTTAAAAATAGTGGTGGGAGCAATGTTTGAAGTGCCACTGTAAAACTTGTCATACTTGTTTAGTTTAGTTGAAAACTGGTGACTTTGAAGGCTGAAGCGCATGATTCACATTGTTTTCGCGCCTTGTGGTCGCATGTGGTGTCATCCTGGAGGATACCACTCCCATCAGAAAAGAAATGTTTCACAAGAGGATAAAGGTGATCGCTCAGAGCAACTTCGTATTGATTTGCAGCAACGCTTCCATGTAGGGGGAATCGCTGGAGCCAAACCATGCCAGCAAAATGCCCCCCAACAGTAGAACAGAGCCACCAGATCCCCTCACTGTCAGGGTTTCAGCTTTTTCCTTTAAATTGTCATATTCTGCTGCTGAAATTGGGTTTCTCTGTACCTACTTTAAGGCAGAATGCGTGACTTGTATAAAGTGCCTGAGATGATCTATGTTGTAAATTAGCACCAGGTATATAACATCGAAATAAAAACCCAGAACCTTCTTGCTGTGAGGTGACAGTGCTAAACTAACCAGCTGCTGGCTGTATAGTGAGCGTGTTTTTAAACTCTATGAGAAAACTAATAAATGCCAAACAATTGTGCAGCTATTTCCCCTCATTTATTCCCCCTCGCTGCACATAAATAATGCTAGACTTCCTTAAGCTTTCATTACAAGTAACCTGATCATCCGTCTTTCTGAAAATGCAGCTCATTGATAATGAATGGGAACACGCTGTATGATGTTCTCTGTGAATAAAAGGATGTGAACCTTCCTGTTGTGGTATCAGATTAACACATATCGTTTCAACATTAGTTTGAATCTTGCGTTTAAACACACCAGATTGTGTTTGTTGCTCAGCTCCGACCAGCTTTAGTTCTCACTATTTCCCTCCTTCATTAGCTCCAGTTGACATTTTCTGCATCAGACCGCACAAACAGATTGATTTGCATCGTTCATTAGCTACACACACTTTGAATTATTAATACTGTATCAATGACTCTTTTAACCACACTTCCCCACTGTCTGTAGTTTGGAAATTCCTCCCACGCAGCACGAATATAACCGGAAACGTGTTTATTTGCATATTTTCCTCCTCCAGATGTTGCATTTAGCTCTTATCCAATAAAAGCAACCAGCAGTGTATTAACGGGCAGCCTCTTCTGGGTTTACAGAGCTGCACCAGGACATTTAGAGCCGATGCAGCAGCTGGTTGAAGCAACAGCTGGTAGTAGGAGGAGTTTTTTTTTTTTTGTTTTTTCTGTTGATTCTTGCTCCTCGGGCCACCTTTTGTCTGGACACCTGAACCGGTCCTCATTTCGAATTCACCGCACAGCACGTATCGCCCTTTGTTTCCCCTCCTTCTGACTGCACACTGTTGCATTTATGTATGAGTACACGGGCGCAGGTGTGAAAAAAGGCATTACTGTGCAAGTTGAATCTGAGGCTTTCACGTGAGGGAGAAAGTTTTTATGGCTCCCCGTGTGACGTCCAGAAGGAAATGAATCGTTATGTAATCTGCTGCCAATCCGTAAGCAGTGTGGCTCTTTTAAAAGTCTAGCTGGAGTGAGAGGTGATGTGAAGCTCACCCCTGTTCGACTGTGATATGGAAAGGTTTACACTGCCTCAAGAAACATACATATAGCAGATGTTATTGTGTCTCTGGAATGTGAAAAGCAAACTGTGATTTTTTTTTTTTAAACCCACAATTCCTGCTGTATCGGCTGACGTGAGTGCAGAAAAATCCAGAACGAGAACTGATCAACACAGGAGTTTTTCTTAGTAGACGTGGGAACGCTTTGTGCGACTTAAAACGACGGCTGCAGACAAATAAATGAGCCGAGTTCGGCACTTTACCTCGAGCAGAGGACACCCGTGGGATTCTTATGTAACCTTCATGTGCACTCTCTGTTTCTCTCTCCAGACTGTTGTGCTGTCATTTGTCTTGCCGGCTATATTTAAATGCTCTCTGTACCTGAGAAATACGAGATGTAGCCCGATTGTCCATATGTGCACCTGTTGTTTCCAGTAGCAACTGGCTGCCAGGCTCCATCCGCCTTCGGTTTGCATGTCAACATGTTAATAAAGAGTCCAATTCTGAGCCACACACTGCGGTTGTGCATTATTTTGGTCCAAAAAGCCATTAAACAAAGCGTTAAAGACGCCTGTTACCCAAAAAATGTTGTATGCTGTTCATATATTTCATGTAAGTAATCATGAAAAATCATGTTAATAATCTGTTGTCTGCTTTTAAGTTTGATGTCAACAACAAACAGTTCATTGTGGGTGTTTATCTGATTTTTCTTATTGATCACTTCGTGCTCAGTACTGTCCTCTGACCCACTGTGCCAGATTTCGTGACATGTCCAGTTTGAGTTGAATACTGTATTTTACGAGATTTATTTATGGATGGTTTTAAACTTTGGACCTTTTTGAATATAGTATTTAATTAAAGAACTCAGTGGATCTGAACAGGTGTGACAACGGTTAACTAAATCTAACGAATAATCAGTAGAAACGACAGCCAAATTAAGGTATAGATGATTTAAAAAGATTAGTATTGCTGAAAAGGTGACTAAATGGCTCAAACAGCTGCATAAAAGTATGGCTAAGAGATTACAATTGTTAAATAAATTGAACTGTTAGCTAAACACAATGGCTAAACAGCTAAGAAATTTGGACAAATGGTTGGAAACTATTAGTTAAAAGTATGAATGAACTGTTGAAAACAATGGATATGTGTTATAATATAATGCTTAACCTAATAAATAAATAAATAAGCTCAGATAGAACTTAACTTTAAAAGTAAAAATATTCAGCAATATCCAATTTTGTATAATTATATGTTTAAATAAGAACTGTTTACATTTTTTTAAACAGATTAGAGTGTGAGAGGTGGTGGAAGTTTTTTTTTGTTACATTTTGCATTTAAGTCTATAACATTATTTTCAAAATGCTCACTAATACACACTGATAAATTCTGAATAAGTGCATTGTAGAATTTAAAATTCAACTGCAAGATGTTTTTTTAAAACTCCTATTCGCTCCCATTTGATCAGTATTTCCGCCGATGCACAACGATGAGTCCACTTTTCATGTGTTAATCTACAAATCATGCCAATCAGCATTAATGCTCACAGCAGTCACACACATTTTCTCTCTTTTCTCGTTTTTAACTCTTTATTTTAGTCAGTTTAAATAATCTAAAAGTTATTTCCTTCTTAGACATGAGAACGTCTTCATGTATTCACGAGAACAATTATTAGAGAACCAACTTCTGAAGTTGAACACGTGGATGCCGCGACACATCTTATAAATCAGAGAGATATCACAGCATTTTACAACGTTTTAGACAAAATCATAATAAAAACTACAAACAGCAGGTAACAGTGTGAGTCAGTACCGTGTGATGTGTTTGCGAAAAGAAGTTCACTTGGTAGAGGCAGCTCTCCCAAGAAGTCTGGGGGATATCAGAAAATCTCACACCCATGTGAGTGTTTTGTCAACGGGGCGCTGCAGCTGTCTGGATTCCTGAGGGGCCGGGGGTGGAACAATAGCTCCTCAGTGAGGCCTCTTTTTCCAGAAAATACTGTAGTTTCTTCTTTGAATTCTCTACATTAGCGCTGTTAGTGAGCCAGGCGCAGTTTAGTATCAGTAATGCTCGAGATTACTGCCGTGCTTAGTCATAGGCCGGACGGATAAGTCACGCAGGTGAGAGCGAACCTGATGCTGCCACCCTGGATCCTGGCAGTCATCTCCGGAGAAGGACCCATCTCGGGCTTTTTATGGCCCTCGGCTGCAGGGGATTTGAGGAGGGATTAGTGCTACTAAAAGGACAGAAGGATAGAGGCTGGCCAGTGTAACGGCAGCACAGGCCGGCGTCGTCTATCTTGTTTTGTCCCCCTCCCCACATTCTCTCAGACCCTGCTGGTGTCAAACAGATAACACTGCAAAAATAAGCCGCCGTCTCCTCGTTTCAAATTCGGCCGTCTGTGACTGGCTGCTCTTTTCACTTGGATTTTCTCCAGTTCGTTGACCCGACTCGGCTCAAGGAAAAACAACCCAAGAGGCACGCTTGAGAACTCCTAGCGGACCGCATTCCAGCTCCTTGTTTTGTTACTCCACCTTTTGCCCTCAGCCTTGAATAGCAGGATCCTGGATGAGAGAGAGAAGAGGGGGGAAATCAGCTGCAGATTAAAATAAAACCCTTAAATTATGACACAGTGAGCACATGCAGGAGGAGTGCAGGCACGTTCGCAGCTCTGTCTGGGCTGCAGGGTGGAGGCAGCCACGCAGGGGGCAGCTCCAGCCTCCACCCTGTGTGCAACCAGTGCTGCCACGGCTTGCAGGCGGCTCTGAAGGGCCTTGCTTGTGAGAGCTGGTGGTGACAGCCTGGTTGTAACCCCGGGAGCTCTATCCCATCACCAACAGCCTTTCACAATGATCCCCTTCTTGACAGCACAGTCTGAGGCCCAGTGACTCGCTGCCAGCCCCCCGCTATCCATGAGAGCACCCAGCATTGCCAGGGACAAAACAATGAGGCCTCTATTAAACAGCAGGTCATTAAAGTGGGGGGAAATACTTCTGTCTCACTCTGATGGCTGCTAACATCTCTCACAGTGGTGTCAATTGTGTTTAAATGGTAATGCTGGAAAATGAAAACCCATTTTTTTCTCCTCTCTGAGGTTTAACCTTTGCAGACGTTTTTTAAAAAATGTACTTCAAAACAAATTAGGAATCTGAAACATAGCGTGTGATTCATTAACCAACTTCAAGGCAAAGTTTGAACTGTGGGACTGTGATATATTAATTATTAACTGTGACACAACAGCAAAGTGCATTAATAACCAAAGAAGATATGAGACAGGATTGTGATGAGAGAGAAAACAAATCTGAATTCATACAAACAACTGCATGTTTAAGTTTGCAGGAAAGGACAAATGCAGCCAATTAAAGGTGAAATTGCATTCAATGTGTTATGTTAATTACTCAGGTGAATAAATTGCACGTTTCTGCACATCATAAATATGTTTATTATCTTTTTTGATCACTTAAAATTCTCTGGATTTGCTCCCCTTGCTGCCTATTTGTCTTGGAACACTTCTTGACTTGCAACACGTTTTTGTAAACCCTCTACTTGTCTGTGTTTATTGTAATGCACCAAATTCACCATCCTCCACTGTGAAAACCTACTTGGCAATTAAACTGATTCTGATTTGCCTTCCAAATGCACACTTCCCCTCTTTTGCAAATGCAAGTGAAAACATACTTCTGCACCTTAAAGGTCAAACACTCAAGGAACGCAATAACAAGTCAAATATGCTTTTGCGTGGAAGGAAACTTTCAGATGCATCAATCATGGCATGCCTGCAGTATGCAAAGAATGAAATGTTTTGCTCTACTGATCTTTTTTTTGACGCTCTGGTTTCAATTAGCTTCAGTCAGAGACAGGTCAGAGGTTTTGGAGTCACATCCTGTGCTGACAGAAGTGTAGGTTCAAAACGAGATGAGCGAATGCACAGATGACTTGTGGTTTGTTTCACCGCCAAACACTGTTTTGAACTTCCTATCACTTGCATTAAACCCCTTTGTCAGCATACCTTGATATCTGGTGGCACATCCTCATGTTGCTTTGTCCAGGCTGTTCTTCTGATAGCCCAGCTGCCTCATGACTTCACTGCAGTAGGCTTCCACCTGATTTATCTGCTCCACATTCAGCCTCTCCCTCCAGGCAAATATAGCCTCCTTTGCGTCCCTGGATGATATCAGAAACGGCTTGTCCGACGAGTAGCCGTGGCCGTGCGTCATGTTCAGCGCAAACTTCTCCAAAGCAGGGAAGGTAGACAGGTTGGAGAAGCGGTAGAGCCTCTGGAGCTCCTCCATAGGGTGCAGGACCAGGTCCTCGTAGCGGATGCGGAGGTAGTTCCTCCTCACCCAGGGAGGCGCGTTCATCACCAACATCATGTCGCTGAGCCAGTTGTCGCAGATGAGCTCCATGGCGCTGGAGACGTAGCTCTCCGCTCGGTTCACCCTGTTGCTGGGCACCAGCAACCGCTTGTACTTGTCAGTCTGCTTCTTGCTCCTCAGCACCTGGATGCTCTCCTTCACCAGGGCCTGCTTGGACTTGAGCCGCGAGTTGTGCACGGCCCTGGGGTCTCTGAAGAGCTGAATGATCTGGAGGTTTATCGCTGGATCTTTCATCAAAGGAACCAGCGTGCTCAGGTCCAAGACACGGACTCCTTTGATCACCATCACCGGGTACTTTTTACACTCCCTCTCCAGCTCCCTAATGTCCTTCCTTTGGCACTTTGCGCACTGGTCCTCTCTCACCAGTCCGATTTCGTGCCGCTTGTGCGCATCGCAGAGCGGCTCCGAGCAGATCACCTTGTTCATCTTCCAGCCGAATATGAAGGAGGTGGTGATGTTCTGCGATCCGGCGTAAAGTTTGAGCACGGAGAAGTCGCAGCGGAACAGCGCGTTCATCATATCCCGCACTGCGCCCTGGAGGCTGCCCGCGTCCCCCGGGTACAGAGCCTGCCATATGTGCCACATGGGCTCGTACAGGTAGAAAACATCGGGGTGCTGGTTGAACAGCTCGCCCAGGAACGAGGAGCCGGTCCTCCAGGTGGCATGCAGGTAGATGTGTATCCGAGCCTGGCTCCTGTTGACGACGGGCTCCGTCGCGTCGCTGCCGTTCACTTTGTAGCCGTTATCCCACAGAAGCGCCACCGTGTTCTCCAAATCTGGGCATCTGGGCTGTTGCTGCGGCAGTCCGTGTTTGCCGTCATGAACGGATTTATCCCTGTAATCTAACACGTAGGGGATTAGCAGAAGTAAACCTGAGTATGCTAGTATTAAAACCAAGTATTTCTTGTTGAGCCTCCGCTTCATTTCCTCTCGCCGGGAGCGGGGCTGGACAGCTTGTTGTGAGGAGGATCGGCGCAGCGCTTTGTGGAGCTCCGCGGTATCCACACTAAAGTTATGTGTGAGTTAGCCCCGCCCCGCTGACGACAAATACCAGAATGTTTCTACTTCCTGCTCCTTTATATCAAGTTTTTTAAAAAGGAAAATCAATGATTTATCTGTTAGAAAACCGATGCACACCAC